CGCCTTATATCGCCGCCACTGCCCCATCAAAGAGGCCCCATTAAACAACCACGATCAAAGGCCAATTAAATCATAATAGACGAAACACAGTGTGCGGGACGTACGCCAATTACCAGCCTCAAAAGAAGAAAAAAAATCTTTTTAACCATCTCCCTTGAGACTTACGTACCCCATTTCGTATGAAACAAGAAGCCAGCGATGTAAAAATAAATAAATAAAAAACTGGAGAGGATTTTGTTATAGAAATAATGCAGAAAACGACTGTGTTGTTTGTGTCAGTCCGTAAGATGAGTCCTGTGTTGTGGTAGACTGGAGGACGTGCGCACGATGGTCCTCTACGTTGCCATGGAGACACAGATGAGCTGATGACGCTTTTGTGTGACAAGGAGAAATTGATGCTCAGCGGCAGCTGACGCCGTAACTACATATTCCTTCATTTTCAGAGGAGCTCATAAGGCCACAATAAGTCATTTTCATGGATGACATCAGCGTGTGCATTGATTTTTGAGTGATTTCAGAGTACTGAGGTCAACATACCGAAAATGGCCAAAGATGTCTGTTGCTAGCCTGTACCAGGCACCGCGGATCGCTGGAAAAATAGTAGAAATTGACCGAAATAAAGGGATTGTATACCAGGGAAGATCCCGGTCCATAGAAGACCCGTGGGTCGCGAATTGGATCTTCTATCGCCCGGGATCTTCTCTGGTATACTATCCCTTTATTTCGGCCAATTTCTACTATTTTTCCAGCGATCCGCGGTGCCTGGTAGAGGCTAGTATGTTGCCATGCCGGAACGTGGATGGCAGGTAAATTTGAAGAGAGGAAACAAGCGGTGATGCACTAGTATTTCGTTCTTTTTGTATGTGATGTTCACACTGAATCAAAACCATTTAGTTGTACAATATGATTGAAAGCTTTTATTTTCCAGTGACAATGGATGTTAAAATAGTTGGCAGTAAACTTAGCATTTATTGTTTAACAAGGTTTATGATGTCAGAATTTGAAAATGTAGGAACCTTGTTTTTTTCGGCCCGCCTTGTTTTTTTTCGCCCTATCGCATTAGATTAAGAGTCTGCAGATGATGTCATCCATAAAATTTACTTGCTGTGGCCTAAATTAAGACATATTGTGGCGCAGATAGAAGACAATCAAGAACAAGAGATTCCTTTAAAATTAAGGAATTAAGAAAATAGGATTTTGGCAGGATCCATTTTAATTATGATTCAGCGAAATAGCAGCAATGTTTTCCCTCAAAGATGTTTGATATTTTACAACACAAGGCATGTTCTTTCCTATTATTTTCATCAAACTATAGGAACTGTCACAAACATCAGTGATAGCGATTAAAAGGAATTAAAAAGGCTTAGACGATTAAAAGTTGCCCCCCGTGAAAAAGCTGCCAATGCCATATGGCTGTGTTCACTTCGGAATGAAAACATCAAAATGGCCTGTTGTAGGATCAAGTATTCCCACGCTAATATGAAACAATTTCAAAGTTCTCGCCGATAAATATTTAGCACACAAGACTATATGGGACAAGGCGAATATGTGCTGGGTGTAATTCCTGATTTTTTCACTGCACTGTACTGTTATGTTCACTGTTTTCACTGTCACTTCTGTACCTTAACTTATCATTACAGTTAACAAATAATTCCTAGACTTTCTCTTTCCTGCACCTGTGGGCACAGTGAATATATAGTTCCGTGAACACGTCCACTTTTCTCAGACCGTGAACTTTTGCTACCGTGACATAAAGTGAATTACAGTATTAACGTTACGCTAACGTAAAATCACACGAAAACTCCCACATTACAAAAACGTCTTCCCCTGTTTCACGAAAAATTGAAGTTAGCTTCGTTGGTTTTAGATAAGTTAGCTTTCAGTTCTATTTATATTAATATCATAGTTTGGGTTTGTTGACTCGCATATTTTCGACAGAACTAGTGAACGAAAACATTGAGAACATTTTGTTTCATTCTTTCATCGTTTAAGATGCAACCATACAGTTCGTCCAATCTGAGAGGACGTCCATGGCCAAAGTTAGGTAATTATTGTTGTAATGTATAGACTTTTAGAACGTAGAATTAGAGTGTAGTGTTTCAGTGTTCAATACTCCATGTTTTACATCCCCTAGACCACATGTGCACTTACACCACTGACTTGCATGATACCAACGAGCTACGAAAGGCCATGGAGAACCAAGTGTTATGGTGGGGACTTTCTGGAATGGCTCGAGCGGGAGCTCAAACTAAGTAAATAGGTGCATTTAGCCCAATTAGACAGAAAGATTCAGTCACTGGAGTCCTTTTAAAGTAGGCAACAGCATTGAGATTCGAACCCAGAACCTTCGGATTCAATCAATCAAATGGTTTATCAAATAGTTTATTGTTCAATTGACTTGCATATCACTACTTGCATGTTACATTTGCACATCGTCTCATCAGATGTATCAGACTGAAAAAAATTGCTAAAATATTTACAAGTAATATAAAATCCACTGCAATAAAATCATAGGTATTAGCTTTTAAAACGAGTCATTTAAAATCCGTGATCTTTGTACAACATTAAATCCAATTATTACATAGAACGATAAGTCAATTCAAGTCAAAGTCCTAACCAACTGCATTTTATTTTTTCCTTTTCACAGTTAACAATATCCCAGTGCCAACAACAGGCTGTCCCGTTATGTTCCATGCATCCCTCGCTGGCCGCACCTGTCCGCTTCCCACAATTAACATTCTTCTACCCCAGAGATGCACAACACGACAAATGGTTGTCTTGTCAGTCAAATTTCCAATAATAGCGAAAATAAAACAAGACACAAGGGAAGCAATTTTACTGATTAGCTGTGCGTTTTATTTGAAAAAAAAAAATTGGCATGCTGGTATTTTCCTATCTACAAGGTCAGGGTCGTGTGACAGCCGCCGTACTATTGTCGTGCGACAGCTAAAGACGTTCTTGGGATAGTCGTGAGTGTGTCGTACAAATTAAAATTCAGCAGTATTGTTACAAGGAAAAGACTGTCTTAGACCCTTGCCGGCCTGTAGTTCTTTTTCAGCCTGCTTCAAATTTGACGACATCAAATATGAAACCGCACATTGTGACTGGTCTCCACCAGACTCCTTTGCAGGCTTAATAGATAGTAGAAATCGTCTAGGGGGAACATCATTGTCAACAGGAATTGGCCGGCCATAGAGGGTCCAGCTGGCCTACACTTTATCAAGCCTGCAAAGGAGTCTGGTGGAGACTACAAATATATGACCGCGTCATAACGAAAGCAGCACAGATCTTTACTTTAGTGCGTTTGGTTGTGTTCCTGATGAAATACGGGAGTGGGCCACAAATCCATAGCCTGGGTACCCTACTCTCCAAGCAGAGGTTGTGGGGAATGATCGTTACCTTTTTATATATGGCCGTTTTTTTTGTCCTGATCCCCGTCGGTGGCTAATGGAGCTTCTCTGGCCAATGGATACTGCCTGGCCAATTTGATACTGTCTTTTTTTGCCACCGATACTGATCTGCTTGGAGATTAGGGTACCCAGGCTAGCACTTCACTGTGGTGAATTGTCTTAATCAGTCAAAGGAAAAGAAAAGGCATTTTTAACGTTTTGGTTGGTTTACTTTAATTTCAAGCCAAATCAAGTCTACTCATAGTTACTCATAATTATGCAGAAGACTACTAGCTATTTAAAGCGTTGTATAAGTTTATCACCTAATTACATTTAACTTACAAACTATATTTCAATTCTAAACCATACCCTATTGATAGAAGACACAGTATAAAGTGTTTGGCATAGCGTTCGAAAAGACTACAGACTAGTTACATTAGCCAAGAACTACTCGATATTTTACACTTAGACAAGATATGCAAGAAAATATCAAAGCAGGACATGTTTAAACACTTGATGTCATGCAAGAACGAATGTATAGCAGACAAACTATGTAATTATGTTTCTAAATGTTTCAAAAGAGAGAAGAAAGGGCTACTAACAGTAAATGATAGGTAGTATATAGTATTGTTATAATGTATAAATTCCTAGCAATTAGCATTATAGTATAGCGTTCCAGTATGCAATACTCATGTTTTGCATACTGCATGTCCTCTTGTGCATTAAGCCCATCTGGGCAAGAACATGCAATAAAGATCCATATCATTAACCTGCTACAATTCATAATACATTGCCCAACCTATGATGAAAACCGATGAAAACTGTTACAATATATTACATGTAAGACCGATATAACGCTACCCCATACAAAGACAGAGATATTCTATATGCTACTATCATATCCTGTCAATATATCCACTTATGAAGGCCAATTTATACACAATTTGCTGACAAAACGAGAAAATGTAATAAATTCCTGGCACAATATTATATTGCTATCAATAGAGTTAGATTAGTATAATTAGCTATAGTATCTCTTACATTGTATATAAAAGCAGACCAGATTCTTAGTACAGTTAGTAGAACTGTTAGATATTTTTAGCATCACCAACTATGTATGTACGTTAGCATTACCAACTATGTATGTATGTTAGCATTACCAACTATGTATGTATGTTAGCATCACCAACTATGTATGTATATTTTGCCATACGTTGTACCCGCTACATCTTTTGCGCAATAAATTTCTTCTTCTGTAATGACCGTACACTAGCAGTGGGTTTAATGGAAATCCGAATAAAGTCAGTCGTTCGATTTGCACATCAAACGTAAGTTTCATCTTAGTAAAACATTGAACTTTATTCCAACACACAGTTTACAGAGAGATCAAATTTTCAGCGACCACTGTCGCCTTCATCAGGATAATTAATGACCAATCACTTCACAACGTGATCTCGCGAGAGTTAATTGCCTACGTCACGTATCGGTAAAGTCTCGTGTGAATAAGGTCACGTGTTTGTAAACGTAACTCTCGCGAGATCACGCTGTGAAGTGATTGGTCATTAATTATCCTGATGAAGGCGACAGTGGTCGCTGAAAATTTGATCTCTCTGTAAACTGTGTGTTGGAATAAAGTTCAATGTTTTACTTTGATTACTACCAACACAGATGAACTTTCATGGTAAGTTTCATCTGTGTGGATCTTAATGAACTGGCATCTCCAAAGCATCTAGCTCCTTTGGAAGACGTTCGTTCACAAGATCTTCCTTCACGCGGAGGAACTGGTCTTTAACGGTGTCCAGGTGTTCCAGTCCTTTGAATATCGCGGGTTCGAAAAGATTGTAACCGGGTATGAAGAAGTGGGGAAGGTGCCTTGTCTCGATACTGGACACCAACACATCGATGACGCACACCAAACACGTCACCAGGTTCTCATTCTCCCAGCCGTCTGGTCTCTTCACAATGGCGTGTAGCAGGACCGTTTTTAGATGATACGAGGCGAAATCGACATCCCTAGAAACGCCCCCTGTCAGTTGAAGCTTGTACTTGATGTACTTCAGGCATCGCAGGCAGTCTTTGCGGCACAAGGTGGCGTGGTTGCTGGCGTCTGTCGGGCTCAGGATCTGTCCGCGTCCGTTGAAGATTTCCTTTTCAGCTTGGGAAAAGGAGAGCCTCCATAGCTTCTCCCCGTCAGGGTCTTTATCTGGAAAGAAGTTAACAAGATTTACCCCAAAAGAAATCTGTTTTGCAAAACTCAAACTCTTGTCGTGTAGACGACGCTATAGCTACTGTAAAGAAAGTGACATAGTTATTGTTTTGGGTAGTGGGTGCGTCTGTTAGGTTGTGTATATGCTTGTCTGCAACAAAAATAAGGCATGAAGAGAGGGTATATATTTAGTTACAGTGATTGACAGGGAGGTCATATTGAACATTAAGCATGCATATGAAGGTGGCCCAGCACGCGCCCGGAGCCCGGTGGGAGTAAGTGGGTGGTACGTGGAGGAATTCAGGAAATGGCTAAAGGCTGTGTTGAATTACATCCTAGGGGACCCCCCCCCCCCACCCACACACACAGCTCCAATACCTTCACGAAAACTCAAAACACTTCCCGCGGAAGTATGAAATCTCTAATTTCGTGTTTTAAGAGGATTTTATTTCATACAGGAGGGAGACATAAGTTCCACAAACGTAAGATGTACCATGAGGTGCTGCCTTGGCCACGAGGTGAAGTTCATTCCTCTTGATCGCTCTGATGTCCCGGGAGTCAGGCCAGTGTGTGACGCTTTGGTTCCATCCCTTTGTACATTTTGGCCAGGGTGTCGGTACCTCCAAGGCAAAAACCAGGTCGATGGACATCTGCAGCCTTTTCTTGGCAACATTCAGAGTAACAGCCGGGCATCCATCCTTCTGCCTCATCAGTTTAAACTCTAGGTCTAAAGCCACACAGAGAAGACTTTGTTCAATCCCACTTCTGACACCAACTATTGAGTCATTCAATTCAAACTATACAGATTGAAACATAGACTGTAATGGATCCTACCATGAAGTTCTGACCAGTAAATTACCAAAGTTTCCAGATGTTTGTAGCTAATTATGAGCTGACCTTTGAAAGGACTGTCCGCCCCTGCTGCACTCAGAGTCTCGATGGTCTGTTCCACCAGGCCTCTGAATCGGTTCAACAGTTTCTTTGGAGACAAGTATCTGTAATGATGAAAAGAATGAAAATATGCAAGACGCAGGGTACCATAGTATAGATTGAGAAAGACTGGGTGCATCTTCAACAGAAAGACTAGATGGTTTAAGCTTGGAGAAGCTGTAAAGATTTAACAGATCCTTGTCATCCATAAGCACCCATCTACCGTCACCAACACTCATCCAATCATGTGCCTTTGACTCTTATGTCACGTGACGTTCCTTCAGACTAGAGGAAAGCTGGCGGATGCCTTTTGAAAGCTGAACTTTTTTGTTTATGAGTTTTTTTTTCATTTAATTCTTCATTTAAAATGATTGTAGTTTCAATGAGCCTTACCCGTCTGGAGTTAAGTAATTGCGGAGTGATGACTTGTTTTTCCTCGGAAGTTTCACGGCGACCATCCCGAGACTGGGCTCCGTCTCCTCTAGAGTCAGCTTCTGGCCATAGATACAGAACATGAAGTCGAACTCATTTGTAGTGTCCACCTGTAAATTTCAATTGAGTATCATTTATGGTGACCAAAAATCATGCTCTGTTTATTATAATTCATAAACCTTCATCTGAGTTACATATTGAGAAATAAACTGCTCTTAAACTCAAGAAAAACGACTGACCGAAAATTTGAGGAATGGGGACGGGGGCGGTACCGACTTTCAACGAACTTTGACCCAGTGCTTCGTATCTACAGCGCTTGGGCCTGATAGCTGATGAAGCCCGAGAGATTCGGTCGATTTTTCTTGAGTTGGAGGACAGTTTATTTTTCAATATCATGCTCTATTATTTGCTTTAATAATAATCTTCAATAAAATAATAATCAAAAGAAGTCAGGGTACCTTTAGGTTTTCGAAGTAGCTTCCGGAATTCAACTGCCGGAGACGAAATATGTCGTCCTCTCCTTCATCTACTGCCATCTTCTTTATTTCTTCCAAGATACAGTTGACGATAGGGTTGTAGATTTTCGCCGTTTCCGATTTGTCATCACTTGGAACCCGCACGAGGTTGGCTATAGCTTTCTTCAGTTTTGTCTTGAAACTGGTTTCACGTGTACTTTGTCTTCGTATTGTCTGTTTGTTCGGTTTGCTGGTTGTAGTAGGTGGGGCAGACTTTTGTGGCCTCGCAGATTTTCGTCCGGCTCTTGTAGCAGGCACATCTGGTGACGTCCCAGGCCTTAGACCTGTATCATTTATGGTGGCAGCATGCGCCGCGCTAGGACTACATCTACCTTTTCTGGTTGTAGGGGATGGCTCATGTATTGTCTGTTTGTTCGGTTTGCTGGTAGTAGTAGGTGGGGCAGACTTTTGTGGCCTCGCAGATTTTCGTCCGACTCTTGTAGCAGGCGACGTCCCAGGCCTACCTGTATCATTTATGGTGGCAGCATGCGCCGCGCTAGGACTACATCTACCTTTTCTGGTTGTAGGGGATGGCTCATTTGGAGCCGTCTTAGGCCTACCTCTAATACTTCCGGTTGTAGCAGGCGTCGTCAAAGGACTACCTCTACTACTTCCGGTTTCTGCAGACTGATTTGGCGACTTCGTACCTGCGGCGCGCCTTCCTCGTGGCATTGCTTTATATATATATAAACAAGTTGTGTTTAACAACAACGAACGATTGACTTGCACAATGCTGTGTTCTACCGACGATGAATTTTAGGAATCCTGGTTGACAAAGAGTAATCTTTCCCCTACACTCTTGATCTGTGGAAGTACATAAGAAATTCGTTAACAAAGAATTCGTAAACAAGAAGATATATAGAACCTGATTATATTAACACAGCGGCTTGCTTTAGGACAAGAAGCCACACTCGACAGCCCTGAAAATATTTGCTTGGAGATTAGATATCCCTTTGTGATTGTGGACACAGAAATAAATCTATTATCTGTCTGTATTTCTCGTATAATATATGTTGTTGTTGGCTTCTTCGAATCCGAAGATCTTTAACTAAGAAGGAAGTCCCCTGCAGGCCTATAATACATACACGCACGGAAACCACGTCACGGGTCACTGAAGGCGTGCCACCGAAAGTACAAGTCAGGTATACGTAAGACTACGAAAGTGAAAGTTCAGGAGCCAAACGTCTTTTGTGCTATTTCCACTCCGTATGAATGCACGCCTTATAAGCATGTTTCTTTCCTCCTGTGTACCTTTACACATGATTTAAGGTGTGCTTAGAGGTAGGATTTCGTACAGTGACATTATTAACTAGCTGACGTCCAATGGACTGCGTCAAGCAGCCTTATATAGTTTCTGAGAATTCCATCGCAATATTCTTACACCAGGCACCACCAAGGGCCTCTTCACCCGTTTTAGGTGAACGGTATTAAAAAATTGAAACGGAAGCTTTAAACTAGACTCTTAAACATATGAAGTTCTCAGTTAAAACTTACCGAACCGCTTATGGGAGTGCCTTTCACACGAAGACTGCGACAAACAAGCCAACTTACGCCGTAACGATACTGAAAATGGCTGCAAGTTGCTGGCTTCCCCAGTGCAGGTGGTAATTCTCGGTTTTCTATCAACAGTATATCAGATGTCGTTCTCGGAGGATAACTGCCAACGTTACAATGGCATGTAGACAAAGGTTTTGACCCTCCACTCTAAAGGTTGGAGTGTATATTGAGGCTGGCTTCTGTAATCTAACTTGTTTGCATACCGCCTCCGCCAAATGTCGCTGGGCCACCTTCCGAAACTATGACGTAATCCGTCTGGCACGCGCGAGGCACTTGACCTATGACATTTGACCGCCGTTTCCTGTATGAGTGCTTGAAATGTAACACCTTTTTCGGCGTAGCGATCTAGTTTGGTACTGTTAATTTGAAACTTCTTTTGCGAAACATGCCCGAAGGCTAATCGCATATACGTAGTGTCACAGAAACTACAATAGGGAACATATACTAACGTTACCGTCTGATCATACTACCACGCCTACGTTTACAGAATGTCGGACGTTTCGGCCCATGGACACTTCGGCCTGGACGTTTCGGCCACATGTGCTGGACGTTTCGGCCACGTGCCGAATGTCCCAATTCTGGACACTTCGGCCTCAAGCAAGCAAGGCGAAAGCTAGCCTGAGGTTAATGCGGCAACTTCGGGGCGGCCGGCCGCCAGGAGCACGATTAGTCAGGCTAGGCGAAAGCAAACATTACAAAACGAAATTGTATTTTCTTGACAAATTCAATCATATCTCATTCTTATTTTCTTTTTCAGAATCAGTTTCCTACGGTGCTAGGGTACCATCGGCGATAGAATAAAATCCGTTTCATTATACACAAGTTCGTGTTTCTTGTCATTAGTTTTCCAAATGATTCTTACATTTCTATGAATGGGGGCAAGGATGATGATCAGCTAGGGAGGGCTACGAGTGGGGGCAAGGATGATGATCAGGGAGGGCTACGAGTGGGGGCAAGGATGATGATCAGGGAGGGCTACGAGTGGGGGCAAGGATGATGATCAGGGAGGGCTACCAGTGGGGGCAAGGATGATGATCAGGGAGGGCTACGAGTGGGGGCAAGGATGATGATCAGGGAGGGCTACGAGTGGGGGCAAGGATGATGATCAAGGAGGGATACGAGTGGGGGCAACAATGATGATCTCGGAGGGCTACGAGTGGGGGCAAAGATCAGGGAGGGTTACGAGTGTGGGCAAGGATGATGATCAGGGAGAGCTACGAGTGGGGGCAAGGATGATGATCAGGGAGGGCTACGAGTGGGGGCAAGGATGATGATCAGGGAGGGCTACGAATGGGGACAAGGATGATGATCAGGGACGGCTACGAATGGGGACAAGGATGATGATCAGGGAGGGCTACGAGTGGGGGCAAGGATGATGATCAGGGAGGGCGACGAGTGGGGGCAAGGATGATGATCAGGGAGGGCTACGAGTGGGGGCAAGGATATCAGGGAGGGCTACGAGTGGGGGCAAGGATGATGATCAGGGAGGGCTACGAGTGGGGGCAAGGATGATGATCAGGGAGGGCTACGAGTGGGGGCAAGGATGATGATCAGGGAGGGCTACGAGTGGGGGCAAGGATGATGATCAGGGAGGGCTACGAGTGAGGGCAAGGATGATGATCACGGAGGGCTACGATGGGGGCAAGGATCGCGAAGGGCTACGAGTGGGGCAAGGATGATGATCACGGAGGGCTACGAGTGGGGGCAAGGATCGCGAAGGGCTTCGAGTGGGGGCAAGGATCGCGAAGGGTCTACGAGTGGGGGCAAGGATGATGATCAGGGAGGGCTACCAGTGGGGGCAAGGATCGCGAAGGGCTACGAGTGGGGGCGATGGATGATGATCACGGAGGGCTACGAGTGGGGGCAAGGATCGCGAAGGG